TCAGCGTTGGCTGCGATTTTGAAGCTGAAATCGCGTTCGGTGTGAACGCACCATGAGGAATGCTTCCAGCACCTTGTTGAATCTATGCCACGAAGAATTGAGGCAGTTCTGAAGGCAAAAGGGGGTCCAACCCGTTACTAGCGTGTTGTACCTAATAAAGTGGCCGGTGAGTGTATATTGCAGGTAGGAAAGGTCTTTCAATATGTGCACTTTGTGGTTCCCATTTGAGTTCATTCTATTATTTGTCAGGAAAAAGAAACAACTAATGACGATTCGAGACCTAAATACAGAGAGAAAACTCTTTCATGGGAGTATCCAAGAAAATGTAGACAGTATTTTTGCACATATAATTTTGATTTACGATTAGCTGTAAATTATGCACAAATGCTTGGTAAAAGGTAAGTTGACTGGCAATTATTTAAATTTAATTGCTTGTTTTATCCACTGATCTGAATTTTCTTTTGTTTTCTTTGTACAGGAGTATATTTTGCTAGGCATGCATCATATGCAGACAGATATACATAGTTTGCAATTATTATTTTTTGTTCGATTCCTGATGGGAGAGGACAAAATGAACACATCAAACAGAATAAAATAATGTTTTTAGCTCCGGTAATGGAGAATCAGTTTTTGGACAGAGTCATTTTTAAAACCAGATCATGGAAGTCTGGTAAACACTCATGACAGTTGTGTAGATTCTATCAGTCATCCCAAAATATTTGCTATATTTGATTCAAATCAAATATTTCCTTAATATTTAATTCAGTATGAACCAAAATAACTGGTGCAAAATGCTTAGGCTGTCTGGATTCTCCATGTGAAGTCTGTAGTTTTAATCAAATGCATTGCATAATTTTTTTGTTTTGTTTTTCTTCACAAAAGGACACAGTTGTAAAGTAACTAAGTACAAATACGTTACTGTACTAAAGTAGAATTTTGGGGTATCTGTACTTTACTTGAGTAATTATTTTTCAGCCTACTTTTTACTTCTACTTCTTACATTTTCACACAATTATCTGTACGTTCTACTCACTACATTTTTAAAAGGCAAGAAGTAGAAAGTTGTTATTTTTATTTCACTTTTGCTTGTTGTTATTATAAAAATAAATACTATCCATATAAACTGTGCCTCCTAGATAGAGTTAATTTAATTGTGGTTCAATGAGAAGAATACATATATAAAATTCTGACTGTTTTAGTTTGTAAACAAACAAATCATGTCACACTCCAGGACACAATCATTAAAATAAAAGGACTGTACTTAAGAAGTACAGCAGGTAAAATAAGTATTGAACACGTCACCATTTTTCTCAGTAAATATATTACTAGAGGTGCTAATGACATGAAATTTTCACCAGATG